CAGGCTAAAGACGGACTGACAGTGTTTCCCGCCGCCGACCCCGTCGCTGCCGCCGCCCCGCTGCCACACGCACGACCAGCGAGTCCCTACACCCCACGACCCCCCCCCCCCCACAACCCCCCTACACACCCCACAACCCCTCTACACACCCCACAACCCTCCTACACAACCCTACACACCCCACAACCCCCCTACACACCCCACAACACCCCTACACACCCCACAACCCCCCTACACACCCCACAACACCCCTACACCCCCACAACCCTCCTACACACCCCTACACACCCCACAACCCCCCTACACACCCCACAACACCCCTACACACCCCACAACCCCCCTACACACCCCACAACACCCCTACACACCCCACAACCCCCCTACACACCCCACAACACCCCTACACCCCCCACAACCCTCCTACACACCCCTACACACCCCACAACACCCCTACACACCCCACAACACCCCTACACACACCACAACCCTCCTACACACCCCTACACACCGCACAACCCCCCTACACCCCCCACAACCCTCCTACACACCCCTACACACCGCACAACCCCCTACACACCCCACAACCCCCCTACACACCCCTACACACCGCACAACCCCCCTACACACCCCACAACCCCCCTACACACCGCACAACCCCCCTACACACCCCACAACCCCCCTACACACCCCACAACCCCCCTACACACCCCACAACCCCCCTACACACCCCACAACCCCCCTACACACCCCACAACCCCCCTACACACCCCACAACCCCCCCTACACACCCCACAACCCCCCCTACACACCCCACAACCCCCCCTACACACCCCACAACCCCCCCTACACACCCCACAACCCCCCTACACACCCCACAACCCCCCTACACACCTCACAACCCCCCTACACACCCCACAACCCCCCTACACACCCCACAACCCCCCTACACACCTCACAACCCCCCTACACACCCCACAACCCCCCTACACACCTCACAACCCCCCTACACACCGCACAACCCCCCTACACACCCCACAACCCCCCTACACACCGCACAACCCCCCTACACACCCCACAACCCCCCTACACACCCCACAACCCCCCTACACACCTCACAACCCCCCTACACACCCCACAACCCCCCTACACACCCCACAACCCCCCTACACACCCCACAACCCCCCTACACACCGCACAACCCCCCTACACACCCCACAACACCCCTACACACCCCACAACACCCCTACACACCCCACAACACCCCTACACACCCCACAACCCCCCTACACACCCCACAACCCCCCTACACACCCCACAACACCCCTACACACCCCACAACACCCCTACACACCGCACAACCCCCCTACACACCCCACAACCCCCCTACACACCCCACAACCCCCCTACACACCCCACAACACCCCTACACACCCCACAACCCCCCTACACACCCCTACACACCGCACAACCCCCCTACACACCGCACAACCCCCCTACACACCCCACAACCCCCCTACACACCCCACAACCCCCACAACCCCCCTACACACCCCACAACCCCCCTACACACCCCACAACCCCCCTACACACCCCTACACACCGCACAACCCCCCTACACACCCCCACAACCCCCCTACACACCCCACAACCCCCCTACACACCCCACAACCCCCCTACACACCCCACAACCCCCCTACACACCCCACAACCCCCCTACACACCCCACAACCCCCCTACACACCCCACAACCCCCTACACACCCCACAACCCCCCTACACACCCCACAACCCCCTACACACCCCACAACCCCCCTACACACCCCACAACCCCCTACACACACCACAACCCTCCTACACGCCCCTACACACCCCACAACACCCCTACACCCCCACAACCCTCCTACACACCCCTACACACCGCACAACCCTCCTACACACCCCTACACACCGCACAACCCTCCTACACACCCCAGAACACCCCTACACCCCCACAACCCTCCTACACACCCCACAACCCTCCTACACACCCCACAACACCCCTACACCCCCACAACCGGGCCCTATGGTTGTGGCAGGTTTCGAGAGTGCCATGATTTGGTTTCCACTTTTATTACTAATGTCGTGTTTGTATATAGTGTATGAGTGTGTTTATGGCGGGTCAACTGTGTACATGGTGACTGTACACAGCTTCTCACTGTCACTCTCTCTCTTCTACTGTTTATATGTAGCATTTTATGTATTTCTCTGTTACACACACACTTTATTATATATATATATATATATATATATATATATATATATATATATATATATATATATATATATATATATATATATATATAAACTTTTCCCGAATAAAAATGTCTTTAGTGAGGTTTGTAGCGACGGTTTTCGCTGAGCGGCGCCATCCTTGTCTATATAGTGATTAATAACGATGGTGACCACCACCATGATAGTGAGGGATGGTGACCCTCACCACCACCATGATAGTGAGGGATGGTGACCCTCACCATCACCATGATAGTGAGGGATGGTGACCTTCACCATCACCATGATAGTGAGGGATGGTGACCCTCACCACCACCATGATAGTGAGGGATGGTGACCCTCACCACCACCATGATAGTGAGGGATGGTGACCCTCACCACCACCATGATAGTGAGGGATGGTGACCCTCACCATCACCATGATAGTGAGGGATGGTGACCCTCACCACCACCATGATAGTGAGGGATGGTGACCCTCACCACCACCATGATAGTGAGGGATGGTGACCCTCACCACCACCATGATAGTGAGGGATGGTGACCTTCACCATCACCATGATAGTGAGGGATGGTGACCCTCACCATCACCATGATAGTGAGGGATGGTGACCTTCACCATCACCATGATAGTGAGGGATGGTGACCCTCACCATCACCATGATAGTGAGGGATGGTGACCCTCACCACCACCATGATAGTGAGGGATGGTGACCCTCACCACCACCATGATAGTGAGGGATGGTGACCCTCACCATCACCATGATAGTGAGGGATGGTGACCCTCACCACCACCATGATAGTGAGGGATGGTGACCCTCACCATCACCATGATAGTGAGGGATGGTGACCTTCACCATCACCATGATAGTGAGGGATGGTGACCCTCACCACCACCATGATAGTGAGGGATGGTGACCCTCACCATCACCATGATAGTGAGGGATGGTGACCCTCACCACCACCATGATAGTGAGGGATGGTGACCCTCACCACCACCATGATAGTGAGGGATGGTGACCCTCACCACCACCATGATAGTGAGGGATGGTGACCCTCACCATCACCATGATAGTGAGGGATGGTGACCCTCACCACCACCATGATAGTGAGGGATGGTGACCCTCACCACCACCATGATAGTGAGGGATGGTGACCCTCACCACCACCATGATAGTGAGGGATGGTGACCCTCACCACCACCATGATAGTGAGGGATGGTGACCCTCACCACCACCATATATTGGCTCAGGGAGGCGGGGAAATTTGAGACGGAAGTCGATGATGGTTCTATCAGTGACGATTGTTGTTGTTGTTGTTGTTGTTGTTGTTGTTTTTGTTGTCGTTGATTTTGTTGTAGTTTTTGTATTTGTTGTTGTTGTTGTTGTACTGTAACCTCAGAACACCTGGGAGTGTGAACAATATACTATAATAAGTCAACCGTAGCGAGGGTGGTGACCCTCCAGGTGGCGCCTGAGACCTCCCAACCTTACATACACAACCTCAACATACAAGTAAATCATAATGACGAATGATATATAAGAAAATAATAAAGCCATACAATGGGCTCGAACTTGCGTTCCTGGACTCGCCCGACACACACAAAAGACACCATTTAAGCCCATCGCGGTCCAGTCGGTCGTGCGTGTGTATGAGGCGTTCAGAGCTGCGGGTTCGGTCCCATTGTACGAGTATTCTTAAAACGATCCCATTTGAGTATCTCAAAACTCTTCAATATTCCTCCTCGACCCAACATTTCTGAACCATTTCTGATTCCCAGTTTATTGTCATGTAAATTTATCCATTATTTTATACGTAATTGACTTTTTACAAATAATTAACACGCATATTCACCTCTTTTGTTGAGTTCGCTCGACACACACAGGCGCGTCCGTGTATACTCCAATATTATTTAAAAGCAAATTTTTAATTCAATTTACAATGCATTATCTGGGGCAGAAAATGTCGACCCATCCTCTTGTTTAGATAGTACTTTTTGTGGCTATGTGGACCTTCGTGTATATACTGACGTAATGGACAATTAGAGTGTATTAAGTCAAGGATACTTTGGTTAGGTTAGGGTTTATAAGCACAGCTGGTCCTCACAGCCCGTCCTCACAGCAACTCTATGGGCTCACCATAGCCCGTGCTACTTGGAACTTTTTGTTCCAGGTAGCGAATCTTTAACAACAACAACTCTATTAACATGAGAACCAACCCCCCCCCCCCCACTTCCAACCACCTGGATAGTTATCTAGATATCTGTGATGGTCTGAAAGCATATTACGGTTCCAGTAATATTCTACAGATAAACTGGTAAGTGAACCTTTGTCGTAGATATAAATTATTCCCAAGTTATTACGTTATTGAATTATAAATCGTTGGTTTAAAATATAAAAAGTGTATGCTGAAAACGTTTGATTTGAAGAATTTGTTTTTCTGTAAACGTAAGTCTCGGGCACACTGAAATAGTCTTTTAATTTCATATTTGTTTATTTTACATTATCGTCAATAATACACTGTATTAACGTAACCAGACGAAACCTAACATAACTGAACCTTAACATAACCAAACCTTTAACCTAAAGCAACCTTAACCTAACCTAACCATGGATAGAGAGTAGTTAATAGCAATCATTATGTAGTCGTTCCAAATCCATTCCCTTGAGCAGATCTCCTCCCTAAGGACAAGTTGTTAGCAACAAGTACAAACTCAGTTCAAATTTGTTCAAATTC